ATAAACAACAACGTTGAGTATTTCGATTCATTTGGTAACCTGAAGCCTCCACAGGAACTTGTTCGATATCTGAAAAACGCTAAAATTTTCTACAACAACGATCCTTACCAAACTTATAATCAAGTTAATTGCGGACAATTGTGTTTGAAATTTCTATACAATAACAATAACAACAACAACGATGGATAATAAAACATTATCGGAATTTACATTAGAAGAGTTTGAGAAGCATATTCCGCCGCTGGAATATTTAATAAGCAATGTGAGACCTGCAGAATTGTTGAGTATATGGCACAAACTGCCTGCAGAATACACATCCAATTTTGATCTTCAAATACGACTTCCATGCTATGTTCACTACAACAGACCTGATTGGGCAACACATTGGGATGGACCGGCTACTGCTCAAGCAAATTGTTATTTCTGTAAATTATCCATTCGAAAATAAACAAAAAAAAACTTGAATAAATGCTTAGTACACAGCTATATTTTTTCATTCATCATGTCGCAGTTGTTGAGAGTCAATAGCACTACTCATATATTTTCATTTCGTCCTTCAACACCGATAGTGTTGGATCCGAAAAAAGATTATGAATTGGCGCTTAGGTCTTTTACTTCATACAATTCCATACCGAATATTGAAAAAGGAGATAAATTTTATTATATCGACCGGATAGGTGGTGGTGGTCAATTAAAAGTCATCGAGTTTCCGACAGGTTGTTATGAAATTACCGACATAGAAACATTTATACGAACGCAAATGAATCTTGAAAATGAAGTTGCTCCTCCGGATGATTATTTTTCTCTAAAACCTAACAATAATACACTGCAATGTGAAATCTTTAGCAAGTATTATAAAATAGTTTTTACAGAACCGAATAATCTTGGACATCTATTGGGATTCTCGAAAAAAGTTCTTAATCCTGGTCAAAAGCATTCTTCTGATTTACCTGTAAACATAATAAAAGTATCAACCATACACTTTGATGCTAACATTACGTCGGGAGCCTTTGACGGAGACACGCCTGCACACACGATCTACGAATTTGCTGTGACAGCCGATCCTGGATACGCTATAGTCGAAACACCTGTAAATTTACTATATCTACCTGTTATACCGAAACAAGAAATAACCAACATCACAGTGTTGGCTTTAGATCAAGACGGTCGTCCTGTAAACTTTCAAGGTGAAACTAGTACTCTTGTGTTGGAGTTGAGAGCGAAGCGCAGATGGGATTAGTGATTATAAGACATAGTGGTGCTTCCAAGGCAACTTCAGTATTACCCCAAGCACCTAAGCGACGACATCTACTACTAACTACATCAAATATCCTGTTTCTACGCTCACTTGGATATCATGTCAACAACAACAAGAATCATGTACAAAAAGAGAAAAACTGAGGAGGCAGCAGCAGCAGCATCGCATACTTCTCCGATGTTTGATCTATATCGATCTCCAGCATTCGATGAATCTGTTCGCAAGGCTGAGTATAGATCTTATACGCCGTTCATCAAGTCATTTAATTGTAATGATGTTGTGGAATTTAGCATCAATCAAGTAGATTCGTTCTTTGCAATGAACGCTTCCCTTCTATCTATCAAAGGGAAAGTTGAAATAACTGGAGGAGCAGGAGATGTATCTTTAGCTCCAAACTTTGGTGCCTTCCTATTTGACTCTTGCACTTACAGTGAATCCGCTAGAGAAGTTGAAACAGTACGTGATCCTGGTATTGTAAGTACTGTCCGAGCTTACGTATGTTACAGTGAGGAAGACTCAAATCATATGGCTATAGCTGGATGGAACTATCCTTCAACACCTATAATGGCGTCAACACATAACAAGTCTTTTAGCTTGCTAATGCCGCTTAAACATATTTTCAACATTTTCAATGATTATCCTATGATTACGTGTGGCAGACAAACTCTCAGATTTGTGAGAGGTAGAAACGATAACGATTGTATCATTATCAAGGAAAAAACTGGAACGACGACGACGGCGACGACAGCGAAAATAACTATTGAAAGCATGGAACTGAAAATCAAACATATTTACCCGAGTGATGATGTGAAAGAACAACTTTTGAAAGCTATTCAAACTGATAAGCCGATACTTATACCGTTTAGAAAATGGGATCTGAATGAACTTCCTGCAATTACCGCAGATGCGAGAAGAGAAATATGGTCAGTTAAAACTAGCACCGCAATCGAAAGACCACGTTTCATTATAGTATGTTTCCAAACCGGTAAACGTGACGTCGCAACCTCAGACCCTACCCTGTTTGATCACGTGAATGCTGCTAGTATTCGAGTATCTTTAAATGGTGAATACTATCCCAACGAACGTATGCAATTGGACTTTGCAAACAATCACTTTACTGAAGCTCATTTCAACTATAGCGACTTTCAAACCAGCTATACCACTTCTTCTTCTCCTCTGAAGAGATGTCTTTTAGATTATACCGCTTTTAAAAATCGCGCTTTGTTTGTTATTGACTGTTCCAAACAAGAGGAAACCATGAAATCATCAACTGTTGATGTTAGATTGGATATCGAAGCCGATACTGGCTTTCCAACCAACACCAAGGCCTACTGCATCATTATACATGACTGCTTAATCGAGTACTTCCCCCTCACCGAAGTTATTAAAACCATCTCGTAAGCAACGAAGGACTCTCAGTTCCGCATCAGACATCATGAGGATCGCGTTTGTTGACATTCAAGGCTTTACAGTTGACGGATTATTCGTACCTAAAGAACTATGTATCGAAATTGGTTTCAAGAAAAGTCATTACATCTTTACACCTCCGCAACCTTTTTCTACATTAAATACTAAAGACAAGAAAACTGTCGCTTACTTGGAGAAGAATTTCCATGGGCTTAAATATTCTTCCGGCGACGTTAAATATTCCAAGTTAAATGAAATAATTAAAAATAAGGTGATATATGCGGCTGACTATGTCTACGTTCGTGGAGAACAGAAAGCAAACTTTTTACTCAAGAAATGTCACATTTATGGTGTTTTTCCCAACATTATTGATGTTTGCAAGTATGATGGTACACCGTGTGCTACTGGAAACTTTGTTGCTGATTCCAATCCATGCCACACCAACGGACAATTTTCCTGTACCCAGAGAAATGTTGAACGTCTACGCCACTGGTTTTCAAATATCATATTACCTATGTAGTTTTTTTCTATTTTCAATAAAATATTAAACGTATTATTGTAGTTTTATTGAAAATACCTCTGGTTTGCGAAATAATTGTCAGAATGTCTATACTATTTTCATTTTGAACGGTATCATCCTGTATAATAATAACAGTACATCGTATACAGGTTATGAGACATTCTGACCGACCGACCGACCAGAGGAGCCCACCACGCTATTTAGGTCACGCCTTGCTATATACGATTTAACGATATACCGTCGGTCCATCGATCCGCTATTTTTCGATGCACCCCTGTATACACGTTGCCCCCCGTAATCCACGCCAACACCAGACAGGTGCGACATCTGGCCATCTATGCGCGAGATGCCCAACCCATCAATGGCAGCTGTCCAATGACACATAGATTCCGTTTGGTTTGTACAGCGCCAAACAAATCGGCGCCATCTATGCGCGAGATGCCCAACCCATCAATGACAGGTGTCCAATGACGTATGACAGATGACGTGTAACGCCATCTATGCGTGAGATGCCCAATGACGCATGACAGGTGTCCAATGACACACAGATTCCGTTTTGGTTTGACAGCGCCATCTAGCGGCGGAATCCCCAACTCATGAATTTCGATTACAGATTCCGTCCAACAACCTGTCAATGGCGCGCGACGCCAGCGCCTCTGGTGGCGGATTTTGGAAGTTTTGAGACCGAATCCCCATAAGACATCTACTTCAAACTGCCTTGACAACTCTAATTTTCGACTGGATTTGTGTAAACTTTTCCTTTCACTGCGACCCAGTAAAAAATCGAGTGGATTTAAGTCAGGTGAATGGGCTAATCACGAAATTATACCAAACCGCCCTATCCATTTGCTTGGATATTCCGCATCAAGATATTCTCTAACTGAACACGCTTAGTGCACCGGGCTGCTGTCTTGTTGGTACCCCATGTCTCTGCAAATGCTTAGTGGAACGTCTTCCAACACATATGGTAAATGATTTTGTGAAAGGTCTAAATAAATTTCGCCATTCAAGAACTCTGGCAGCTAATGATTCTCCAATTTAGAATCCCGGTCCACATGTTTGCTTTAAAACGATACTATGATCTATCTTGTCTCAAGTGAAGTGTCCATATGCTTGTCGTATAATCTGTGTAGATTCCTGTAACCATCTTTTTTAAATGTCGATTCTTCAGTCCATAAAATTTTCTCTAAAATAGCGGATCTTCCCGGTGTTCAGTAACATTGTTCTTCAAAACTCAACTCTTGAAAGGTAATCCCGAGGACCCCGTTCTTTCGCTAGATTCGGTGGACTACACCTTTGGGCACTCCCGTTCTTGCTTCTATTTGACGAACTGAAGTACTCGGCAGGGCTATTATGTAAAACAACTAAAAAACGTCACGAAAAAGAACCGATGAAATGTCATCTTGCAGGTTAGGTAGTTTTTAGTGTGCAAATAGTTCATTGCACGTTTGCTCGCTATGATCGCTGTTTGCTGACGTTTAAGTAACACATACAGGTACAAAACGAGTTTACAAGTGCATAACAACTTGTGCTAAGTTAACATCTTATAATATCTTCGTTGTGAACGCTCGTAGTGTACAGTCGTGTTTTGCATCTCTTTCGATTTGATTACGGTTTCATAGCGTATAACCGGCTTATAATTATTTTGATTCTTTGTTGTGAGTCTCCCGCACGTTAGGAACAGTTTGTGAGTAGCTTCATTGGCTTCGTATGTTGTGCTCATATACTACAAAACAATTCAATTTTCTTCTGCCGAGCGACCATTTCTGGTGCAACAATTTTGTTGACCTTGAACTAGAATCCTCCTTTTTGTGTATCACCTGATAAAGAAGTAGCAAAGCAAAGTAGCTGACTGATTTATTTCGTGGTTCTGTGGTCTACTCACGGAGGCTCTGAGACGATTCCTTTCATTATTTCTATTCCTTATCCTATCCGTGGTCTACCTCTTTGTGTGTGAGTCTCTATTATCGACCCAATAGAGTGAAGTGCGTCTTCCTGTACCCTCTCCCTTCCTACAACTTGTTGATAATTAACAATGAACCAAGATTGCGCTACATGTTCCAAATTAATTGGCCCTTCTCAAGTGGATATCTTATGCTCCAAGTGCCTGAAAAGTCACCACGCTAATTGAGTTAACCTGACCACTAAAGAGATCGGCTATTTTGCCGAAAACGGTGACAACAAATGGGTTTGTTCAGCATGCTGTAGACGTGGTAGAGTTACTCGTAGCAACTCGTCGTCCTCATCAACTAGTGCTCGACCAGCGGTCTCCCCTCATCGGTCTGACGAAGCGACTGCTTCTGATCCTCTAGCACTCATTTTGTGTCAATTGTCGACCATGGCCAATGACATTAGAGACATCAAAAACTCACAAGCACAACTAAGCAACGATGTCTCCCATTGTATGTCATTGCTACAACAGCATTCGGCTTCTATTGTTCGCCATGACGAACTGATCTCTAATTGTGAGGCTAGTATTCAGCAACTCCAAAGTGCGCAAGCATCTATCTTATCCAACATTTCGAACGTTGAATCTAGACTGACCAATGCACTGGTAAATGATAGATCGTTGAATACCAACGCTTACAATATCCCATCATCTCCGACTGAAACTTGGGAAATACTCAGACGATCTCACAATATTATCCTGAAAGGTCTTCCTGAAGGCAACAATGATTCTGATTCCGTAACAGACATAATCAACCACATCGAACCGTCTGCTAATGGATACCGCCTCAATATGACCAGACTTGGTGCTGTAGGTACATCTCGTCCTCGGTTGATAAAGGTTGGCTTTGCATCGCCTATAATAGCTAAGAATATTCTACACAAGAAGAATGATATTTTAAGCCACTCTACCTATAACTCCGTTAAAATTTTGGACGACAAAACACCGTCACAAATGCATGAGCTGCAGCAACTACGTGAGGAGTTGAAACGAAGGCTAACGGCTGGAGAACGCAATATCACGATTAAATATGTCAAGGGTAGACCATCCATTGTCAATATTGTTGCACAGTAATCTTCTGTATCAAAAAACTGCTAACCGAGGTGTCGGTGTGCTACACAAACATTCAGTCACTGGTATCTAAACTTCTCGAAGTGCAAGCATTTGTTGATGGAACCAAACCTTCGTTTCTTTGTCTGACAGAAACCTGGCTCAGCCCTAATATACCTGACTATGTTGTTAATTTGCCTGGTTACTGTTTGCATAGGGTAGATTCCCCTCGCACGCCGGGGTATTGTGGGGTCTGTGTTTATGTACGTACCAAATTTGCTGACAATTTCACAATAACTACTACTTCCAAGAGCTTCGATGGTATCGACAGTCTCTTTTTGGAACTAACACGGCCAAACTTCAGTTTTGTATTAGCCTGTATCTACAGACCGCGTCCCTGTGCTGGTGATGTTTATTTGTGTAAATTCATCGAAGAACTTCTAACCAAGAATTCAAACATTCTGTTAACTGGTGATTTCAACTTACGTGACATCAGCTGGCCCATGACAACATTACCAGAATGCAACTCTCCTTCTGCCCCTTATATTGATTTAATGCGTAAGTCGAACATCCTCCAACTCGTAGATCATCCGACGAGATTCAGGGAAGGCCAAACTCCCAGAACTCTCGACCTGATATTTGTAAATGATCCTGACTTTGTTTCCAGTCTAGACTACCTACCTCCTTTTGGCAAGTCGGATCACTGTACCTTATTGACCTCACTTCAATTCTATGTACAAACTCCATCACGTAGACATTTCAAAACTGTGAAGCTATTAAACTACAGTGCTCTCAATCGAGCATTGTCTGAAATAAACTGGTCCAACCTGCTTGCACAACGTAGCACTGAAGATATGTGGGATATATTCTCTCGTCGAATCCAACTGGAAGTTACTAGGCATACGACCACAAAGAAGATATTCAGTCACCCAAGAAAGCCTTGGATTAACCATAACCTCTCAAGGATGTTGAGGCATAAAAAAGCGTTATGGCAAAGATTCCAAAGAAGTAGACTACAACAGGATTATGTATCTCATCGATCTTTCTCTAACATCCTTTCGAAGAACTTGAAAAACGCCAAGCGCAATTATGAGCAAAATCTTGTATTATCGAAAGATAAGAAGAAGTTGTTTAGATACTTGAGATCCACCCTGAACTCTAAGGCTTCTTCCCCACAAATCCGTGATCCCAATGGCCACCTACATACTGATGCCGAAAAGTCTGCCAATCTTCTTGCCGATGCTTTCAGTGAAGACTTTGTGAATGAACCTGATAGTGATGGTACTCTTCCGAACTTATCCAGCCCTCATAGATGCCTAGCGACCATCTGTAGCATAGATTTTCAACCTCAGGACATTGAGAGGCACCTTACTAAACTGAAAACTTGTTCGTCCCCTGGAAAGGATGGGATTACTTCTGCCGTTATGAAGTCTTGTGCCTCAGCTCTCGCATACCCCCTGTGCATTATATTCAACTCCTCGATTCAAAATCACATCCTTCCTTCCTGTTGGCGTACTGCATCTGTGACACCTATATACAAAAACGGAGATAAAACATCTGCGAAAAACTACCGTCCTATCAGTCTTGTGCCTATAGCTGCGAAAATAGCCGAAAAGATCGTCCAGGAACAACTTATGACATTTGCGTTCAAGAACAACCTGCTGCCTAGCAACCAACATGGTTTTATTCCTGGTAGATCAACTATCACCAACATGTTACACTGCATTGACAATTGGACCAGATCTTTAGACGCAAATGAACCGGTCGACGTGGTTTTTCTGGATTTTTCCAGTGCTTTCGATCGAGTTCCGCATAAAAGGCTCCTGCACAAGCTTGAACATCTCGGAATCAGTGGTAATTTGTTGTTATGGATTGAAGCTTTTTTGTTAGACAGATCTTTCTCCGTCCGTGTTGGAGACGAATATTCTTCTAGTCATCGTGTTACTAGTGGAGTTCCACAAGGATCTGTGCTAGGGCCAATACTTTTTCTTCTTTATACAAGCGACCTTCCCACCCGACTTTATTCTATGTGTTCCATCTATGCAGATGATACTAAAGTCTATAACACTGTCATGAACTCATCTGTGCTTCAAGAAGACCTCAAGCTGATCAGAAAGTGGTCAGAACTCTGGCTCCTGCCTTTAAATCTATCGAAATGCTACGCTCTCCACCTGGGAAAAAATAATCCTAACTTAACATATAAGATTGGCAAACATACCTTAGAGACTGTTCTTCATCACACAGATCTTGGTCTGACAGTTAATGGCCGGCTCACCTGGTCAGAGCACATTCAGAACATAACCTCTAAGGCAAAGCGGTTGCTATATATGATGGAAAGATCATTTAGCGGTTGCACCGTTAGTACCTCCTCCTTTTTGTACACAACTTTCGTACGACCCCTACTCGAGTTTGCTGGTCCGATATGGGATTCAAACCTTGTTCGCGATAGCAGCTTATTAGAGGCCGTTCAGCGTCGTGCTACACGTATGCCATATGGCACACGTAGGCCAAGTTATGAAGACCGCCTCGAGCTATATAACCTGCCTGCTTTTGCTGATAGAAGAGTACGAGGAGATCTCATCATCACTTTTAGAGCACTGCATAATTTGTTTGGTGTGGACATGTCGCATCTGTTTCGTCTGGCAACGAACAGTCTCAGAGGCCATAACTTCAAATTGCAGAAGGAAGCTTTTAGAACCTCTACTCGTCAACGCTTCATCTCAAACCGTGTCTTCGATGCATGGAACAGTCTTCCATCTTATGTAGTGAACTCGGAATCCGTCAACAGTTTCAAAAACAATTACGATAGACACCGCAGTGCTTAACATATTGTTCCCATTCTGTATATGTCTACTTCAGAAGTGCTAAGATTGTCAAATTGTTATATTTCTTTTGTCTGTACACTATTATCTATTTTTGTGTTTGAGTTTATAGTACTTGTACTCAACTCAAATTTGTTGTTTGATAATAATAATAATAATAATAATAATAATGCCACCTCTGAAGCAGATGTTACATCACATCAGAGCCAAATATTGATAGCTGAAGCATCATGACGTTTAGGCAACAGGTACTGCTACAAAACGAGTACAGAACAAGTGTACAACAGCTAGTGTTAAGTTGTTATCTTGTACAAAAACCAACGTTGTCACAAAAAACCTATAAAATATCAAAAAAGCCGTCCAAATGTCACTTTCCAAGATACGTAAAACCCGTGCCAGAGGTCGCGCAGCATTTGGGTACTTCTCACGATAAAGCTAGCTGTACACAGACATGATGGGACCACACAATCATGAATTCATATAATAATATAATAATAACAATAATAATAAATGGCCTTTATTCGTCGCATCATTACAAAATAATTGGCTTAACAGGGAGAAAATAAACTCGACCTAAAAACATTGACACAAACTATAAAAACAGTACCTACATTTAAATGGCACAATTAATTACCTGCGGATATGCGTTAAGTTTAATTCTAGTCATCCGATTGCTTTAAGCTCATCTTTAACCTTTTTTTAAAGTTGCTTAGGCTATATTCTTTATACTCAGTTGACAAGCAGTTATATAGTTTGGGTGCCCAGTACGAGAAACAACGTGTGAACTCTCGAATGCCGCGTGACCAGTAAGATGCGTTTACTCTTTGATCGTACTGATAGAGGACGGATAGCTTTGTATAAAGATAATACGGCGCTTTAAGGAGAACGGTCTTGTGTACCAGAGATAGGCAATGCAGTTTCCTCAATTTGTCCATCTTAAACCATCCTGATTGCCCAAAAGCGCCACTAATATGATCAAATTTACGGATTCCTCACTCAACTCATCGTTGGTTGTCAGAGCGGTCCGTGCGACCTTAGCTCTTGAGTCACAGTGTCAGTTTGTAAATCTGTCAGGTCAGGTAACCCAGAAACCAGACAATTTTAAGGAAAAAAGAAGAGGAAAGCAGAGAAGGAAGAACGAGAGCATAGGGGAAGAAGAGAATCTTTTAGGATAGGCAGCGTTTAGGCATTGTTAAAATCACTTCACAGATTTTGATGTGGTCTAAAAATATTCGATCTTTTCTGAAGATTTTGTCAAAATGCTCCAATTTTGGTTGTTCTAAGTTCACGAATTAATTTTGATTACAGTGCGAGCCGTGGCCCTTTATGCTTGCTTACTTGCTCGACTGTGTAGTCCAGTGACTCACGCAACAGAGGGTTGCTGTGCGATTCCGCTAGGCTATAGCGCCGCTGCGCCTGTTGCTTAATGTAGTCCTTTAGGTAAGGGACATCGAGGCCTCTATGTAGAGTTTCGTTAGAGACATACCATGGGGCGTCAGCAACAGTGCGCTACGTCCTGCTTTGCAGAACCTGCAGATTTCGCATGTGTGTTTAGCAATAAAACACCAAGCCGCCGGACATGCGTAAGTCACTGCTGGTCTTACGACCACCCTATAGAGTCGAATCTTGTTAATCAAACTTAATTTTGAACGTTTACATAATAATGGGTAAAGCTGTCGAAACGTAATTTGGAATTTAGTTTTTATCGCTTCTATATGGTTCCGCCAAGTCATC